ATGTGTTTTTGAAAAAATGTCACTATAACGAGATTGTCACTATAACGAGCTGTCCTTATAACGGGAGTGACCTGTATTATGTAAATTTACGTCAGAAAAAATTTCCTGATGGTGTGTCTTTACTGAACAACAAGAAAATGACATGTTCAATTTTCCTAAAAGAGATGGGAGAGAACCAACACCAAGTCAAAAAAAAATTTATAGAAGTGCCAATAGTTTTTTTTCAAAAGAAAATACTGATGAATGGAATATTTTAACATTCCATCATTTTATGTCTAGAAGAGCAGGAAGTAGTAGCACTGGAGCAAATGAAAGTTTTTTAAGATTCGTTTATGAATGCATACTCCATGACCAATTTAAAGACTAGTGCCATAATCCAAAAAAGGAAAAATTATGGTTGCAAAAGTGGTCGCAACCACTTTTTATATGTTGTAAATATAATTACTACCATAATCATAACTTATGGCACTGGTCTTTAGACCAATTAGGAGCAAATGTTATTGATACTGGAATGTATATACAAAAGATAAAAGATTCACAGGTAAATGTATATGTTTATTATTAATAATAATAATATTATTATGGTGATAATGAAGAATTGAATTGAGATGGAAAATGCCATGATGGTTAAAAATTTTATTCTGTTTGGTGATGGGTGGTTCAATAGAAAATTGCTTTCTATGACAGGAATGATTCTTGTAAGAGTGGTTTGATAGCTTCCTGTAGCGAGATGATTTTCGTAAGCACTTTGTCTGCTTTGCGGTGGTTGGTTTGATAAATTGCATTTTGATGACTTTCTGCGGCAGAAATGATTCTCACAAATGCTTGGGTGGTTGATAATTGCACTTTGATGACTTTCTGTGGTGGAGATGGCATATTCTATTTGTTTGGAGGCATAATAATACAATTTAGAATTGCTCCTTTGAAATTTGTTTGGAAATTACCAGTGGTTTAGATAGGAAACTCTAATACAAATCCTGAATCACATAAAAACTTAAATTGCTATATACAAAAATAATTGTGATTGATTATTAACCAATTTATCTCTATATTTATAAAAAATGACAGGAAACCAAGATACCTAAAACAACTGTTGAATTGGTTCCATTCCTTAAAGAAAAAATATCAATAATTACAACAAATGAAATGAATTTCAATAGATGGCCATGGTTGGTTGATGGATTTAATATTCAAATGAAGATTAAACAATTGATTATTAATTGGGAATCAGATTCTACAATCAAAAATGACCCAATCCTGTCTTCTATAATTTATACATCTTCACCACCACATTGGCTAAAAATCCGGGTTTTCTGAAAAAGAATGGCAAGAAATGAGTTCAACTTTTTCTTGCACAATCAATAGATCAACAAGTATTACTATACCAGACAAGCACATGCAAAGAATTAAAGATCATTTGTAATTGTTTATTTATTTTTATATTCTTATTGTTTTACAAATTTATTACCAGTTTGTTTTAACTATTTATTTATCTTTTGGTGAATATATTCAACATAATAGTAACTACAAAAAGGGTCAAAAAAGAAAGAATGAAGGAAGTTGGCAAGCAAATGCAATCACATTTCCATTTACAATAATGGAATGTAGCTTTTTTGGAATGAGATTTATTACCAATGAAAGAGAATCAAATGACAACGTAATTTGCCCTCATCTGAAAATGAAGATGATGAGCTGGATTCTGAAAATTTTAAAAAAATTTCAAAGAGTGGAAAAAAGCCTGATTTTATAGTGGAAGGAGTATCTGGATACCAAAGCTAAGGTTGTGGGCGAAACCGCCTTAGTAATCGCTGAAACCATGGTAAAACTATATTAAACCTCATCAAAAATCCTGTTGAAACGGCGAAACCTCAAAATGCGAAACTCTGCCAAAACTCTAATAAACAATTAACGTGTAAGCCTGCTGATTGATTTCTGGAGGAGTTTCGGCAAGCAACCTTAACCAAATCACTGATAAAAATATCAAAAAAAATTTACATTTCGAATATTTAGTTAGTGAAGTTACTAGAAAACCACTAAAACAGTCTTAAAAAAAAATTGATTCAGATAAATATAAACTATTTAATAAAAAACGTTATTTTTTCAAATTAATTTAACAATGCGTTGTGCAATGTTGGGTAGGCCGCGCATCTTGAAATAAGGTTGTGCAATGGTACCCGTTTTACATCGCGATGCAATTTTATAATTTAAGATCCTGATGTAAATAAATATGGCCTTTTACAAAGCTCAAGGGCTTCTATAAAGTTTCTTTTATTCACTTGTGATCGATTTATTTTAGTCGCTTACATTTACTAACCAATCGCAAACTCGTTTTAGTTCATTGATATTACAATTACAATTACAAATAACATTACCAGTATTTCCAATTAACCTTCGACAATACTCATCAACATTCACTAGTTAACAAAACGTTGATCCTTATTCACTAAAGTAAATCACGTTACTAACTGTTGTTAGCACTCACTAGTATGTAAATTGTCATGTGGTATTTTTGTTCTTGTAGTTTATACGAATAAAAAATTAATCATTATACGCCATTCAATTCTCCGCAAAGAAAAACAAGTTTTTAAATGAAGACGTAACAGTGAGTTTCGTGAAATACAGATTAGTATTATAAAATCACACGACTCAGTCACATACATATATATTTGTTTGGAGCATCAAAATTAGCACTGGGTGCGAAGTATCTTAGCATCCTATCATGTATTTATGATCAATGATGTAATCTTTAATATAAATAAACTATTTCATGCCATTGATCGAGTAGTCTAATAAATTACAACAGAAACATATAAATAGATCCTCTACTCCTCAAAAATCACAAAAAACAGTGCATTGATTTTACCTTTTACGTTGTATTCGAACTTGATGGTCGAGGAATGTAGTGCTGAAATGACGTTCTATGTATGATTTGGCTTTACATGTTACAAATGCGAGGTATCTATTATATTCGTTTGGAGCAGTCATGTTATTATTATTAAATCAATATTTTTATTTATTCGTTGCATTGAGCAAAAATTACACATACAATGGGAAATTGTTCACGAATCTATAAATTTTTAATAAAAGATTCTTTGCAAAGAACCCTCATATGAATCAAAAAGTTATTTACGAATTTTAATTGTTAAAAAAAATGATCTTTTTGTCCTGTTCTTTTCCTTGTGTTTATTTTTTTATCGCAGATTAAAGGTCAATGGGTCAATTGGGGGTTTTTTTCCAAAGTATATTTACTATAGAAGAATAAACTTCATGCAAACATCAAAAGTTATTTACAAATTTCATTTGTCAAGAAACAATCAACTAAGCTTTTTTTTTCTTGATTAAAAAAAAAAAAATCCTTTGCTAAAAGAAATTAAAATTTTTCTTATCCGAATCATTCACTATCTCTCAAATGGTCAAAATCAAAAAAAAAATTTTTTTAATTCAACACGAAACATATTGTTTGTTTATTATTATCGATGACCGAAAATATACTAATACGATCTGTCCAAGGTCATAAGTTTTGGTCATTTTGAATGATCAGAACCTAACAGTAAACAATGATAAACACCACACAAAAAACATCTAAAGCGAAACATGATTTTCTTTCAGTCAAGCATCTGCTTTTACAAAAAAGATAAATTTTTCGGTTGCCAAATAGATAGCAATGTAAATTCGCGATGTAAAAATAACCATAAACATTTATCATTTTCGGAAAATGAAAAATTTCAATTTTAACAAATTAATTTCAAGCCAGCGCAGCAAAAAAAGAAAAAAAACAACTCATTACCCTTTGATTTTGAACTCATCCATAACTGCACATTTTTCAAGTCTTCTTTACAACAGAGTATTTCCCATGCAACCAAACATTTCAAATTTGGGTAAAATTGTTGAATTAGGAAAAAAAGAAAAGAAAACCTACGACATTTAGAAACACAAGAACCTTTCTTTTATATTTAAACTGTTATTCTCAAAAAAAATCTCCACTCTAATTAAAACACCGATTAAAATTTTATATTTTTATATAATGTCATTTGTTAAACTATTATCATCATCATCACCAGAAAGAAAGAAATTCATAATGAAGACCAATAATGAAATGCTTAATAATGCTCTGGTTAATTCTGATAGAGAAAGTATGAAAGATTATTTTTTTTCATTGGTCAAAAAAAACAAGGAGCTTTCTGAAAATGAAAAAGAATTTTGTAAGGAAAGATTTATTTATTATTTTGAATTAGAGGATGCAACATATAAATTGGGCAAACCAAAGGAATGTAACAAATGCAAATTGACAAGATATTCTGATATATTCTGTGAAGGTTGTATTAATTTACAATTACAGAGTCTTTTCACCACTTGGACATCTGGAAATAACATAATTGATGATTTTATTCAACAATGTCAAA